GTTAAAGCCTCCTTATAATTAAAAAAAATATTTGGGTTGTGCATTACAAATGACCTCTAAGATATTATCCTCACTGAGTTTTATCTAATAGCTGAGAGTGATACGTAGTTATCTGAAATGATTAGTATAATTCTCCTTTTGCAAGAATGTATCTATTTTTCTCTGCCTCTTCCTTCCTTCCTTTCTTTCCTTCTTTTTTTCCCTGTCTTACCATGGAGAATATTTAGCCAAGAAGCTCAGAGCTACAATGAGAACAGTGAAACTAGAAGTTACTCATTGCATAAACTCTAAAGACAAAATATAGTCCAAATATTTTGATGAGTACATAGCACTTTTTTATCATGGTATTCTGCATTCAACATGTTTATTTTTACCTTTTTATTTGTATTGGTTCATGTTTTTAGATGATGAGCGACAGAAACTATGTTAAGCATCACTGATTTATAGTGAAGATAGGGTAATATCTGATCGAGTTGGAGGAAGATCTTCATTACCAACCCCCAGGGAAGCTTGCCAAGACACCGTAACAGCTTTTCTAGTCTTTGCTCTCCAGTGTCTGCATTAACCCAGTCTGGCTCCAAGTCTGTACAGCACTGAATGTCGCTTCCAGTTTCCTGAAAGTGAAGCCGATTGGTCAGTGTGCGGTTAGGGACGCACTGAATTGGAGGTGCTGGAAGATGCTGCACGCTCTTGGCCCTGGGCAGCAAGTCCCGAGGGTTAGAGCGCGGACGCTGCAGTGGCACTTCCACGTTTCAAATTCTGTCCTTGGTTTAGTCACTTTCAGTCCTTGAGAAAGTTAATTTTGTTTGTTTTTAGAAAAGAGGGATTGTAAAACCTAATACCCAACTCAGTCATGCTTTTAAGAGGATGACTTAAACTGGCATGTATAAATCATTTAGTCAAATACTAAAAAAGTACTAAAAGTGCTTATATTAATTAATTACAAGTTGTTTCCAGTCATTACTGATTTTAAATACATAATAATTTAGAAGTCAATAGCTCCACCAGTTTACACATATTACATATTTATTTCATGTGTTCATATCACTATTGTTCTGTATTGTGAATTACTTTATTTTGCATTTTAAGATAAGATTAAAAACGAAGAGACTTCTATAATGCAAAATCATCAATGCATGGAATTGTGGGCCTGATAAATAATTTAGAGATTCTAAAATTATTTAAGGCCTGTTAAGATTTGTCAACATATTACTTGGGTTTTATCATATGATAGTTTAGAAAGTAGAAATGTGGACATCTGCCACAGGAGTGGACTCTAGGAACTACTTCGACTGCCCCTTAACTTTATGACTAAGAAGACTGATGGAGGAGCTTTGATGACTCATCTGAGATCACAAAACTGGTGCTAGAGGCTCAGGCACTGTGACTGCAAGGGGGAAGCCCTAGTCTGTGACCCCAGAACCCCATATGAATGCAACTTCCCGTCCCAGTCACTCCACTTCAGATCCAGTGCCCAGCTAACGCACCAGAAACAGCAGCAGAAGATGACCCAAGAACTTGGAGCCCTGCCTCCTGTGTGGAAGACTCGGACAGAGTTCCTGGCTCCTGGCTTTGGCCTGGCCCAGCACTGGCTGTTGTGGCCATTTTGGAAGTGAAGCATTGGATGGAAGATCTCTGCATCTCTGTCCTCTCTCTGTAACTCTCCTTCAAATAAATAAATAAATCGTAAAAAATAAAAAACAAAACAAACAAAAAACAACAACAACCTCATATTAGAGTCAGAATCAAAACAAACCAAACAAAATAAAACAATATTCTGACTCCAAGTCAGCAAATGATCGTATTTCCAGTCCAGCATGATGTCCTCCTCCTAGAACTGAGTCCTTACACCATATACTGCACTACTTTCAAGTGTTGTGTCCCCTGAATACTTTATTTTAGATTTCCCTATCTTGACATAGAGGTTCTGTCTGTCGTACATCAGCTCAGTTTCAGCCATGTTGCCATCTTTGGAGAGGAAAGTTTCAGTATCTATTAGCATCAGAAAAAACTACTGTTTTATTACCATTTAATTAAAAATTGGAATAAAGGAAGAAAGAATGCTACAACTGGTGATTAAAATCATTGACTCATAAAATTAGCTCATTTGAGGTCAAGATAGGAGTCCCTTGTATTTTTCTATTTATGTCTGGGTGTCCTTAGTCAGTAAGTATTCAGCAACGACTTCTGAAATTGGGTTGGACAAAGTGCATTGAATCAAATGGAACTGGAGTGAATTGAATTGAATTAACTGAGGTACCCACTCTGGAAATTGTGATTACTCTATGAAGCCACTAGGAGGAGATGCAATTCAGAACATTAAATTAGTGCCGGGAAGCCACAAATAACGACTTTTCTCCGCCCCGAGTCTAACATAGAATTGAAATTTAAACCAATGTTGTAGTTGGCATTCCAGAAGATGAGAATGGGTCATTATCAAAAAATTTCCTCTCACTAGTTAGGTGAGGAGATAATATATGTTTTTGAATAAAAATATTTGAATGCTGAGACACTACTGTAGGCTAATTAAGGGAGAAATAGTCTGGAAAAGACCTTGAGAATGTCGCTGCCATCCAAGAAAGATAACTATCTTTCTTTGTGCAATATTCTTCAGAGATGGGAAAAAGCCCATCTCTGTCTGAATTCCCCATAAACAAAGCAACAAACAAAACTCTGTCTCCTTATTAATCTTAAGATGCTATATACAACACAGATGGTGGTGATGAACTGTGGTTGAATGCTTCTCTATTATTAAAAGTTTTAAACTGTGTAATTGCTGTATTATTTCATCCCAAACTTTCCTGTCATTTCAACGATATATCTAATGCAAGCCAAGGAGTGTCTATAATAAATTACTATAAGAGTATACTCAGTTTTCTCAAGCATAAATCTGATGAGAATGGAACTTTAATGGTTCTAACTCTGCCTATTCAGTCTTACACAGACCATTAGATCAACAAAGCCAGCTGTTTCTAAGTTCCATTAGGAGTCAGTATTAAAATAAAAGTAAATATTAAGTCTGAACCTAATTCTATTTTATAAATATTGCCATTGATTTTTAAAAATACTCTGCTTGATTATCTTCTTAACTTCTTCAACTTGATGGTAAAATATTTTTCTTATCTTTTTTTATATTTAATAATATGTTTCTCCCTGGAAATAAGATTCTTTGGACTGCTATCACTAATCTACTCACCACCTCTGCCCTCCAAGTGCTCCAAGATACCTCCGACAAGTATTGTGCTAGGAATGCATACTACCTTTCTATAAGCCTATGTAACCACGCTATAAAAGACCTGTGTGAAGTTTTGCTACTTCCATAATATCCTCAGAATCGGGGTTGGCCTAAAAGATTTGGGGCAAAGGATATTTGTAGTCATATCAAATTAGATCCCAAAACAGAAAAGATAGATAGATTTTCTTAAAGACCAATACCCAAAGATGTGTTTTATTTTAGGATATAGAAATGTCACTTCAGGATATTAGAAACTGTATATACTGGGGCCAGCGCCGTGGCTCACTTGGTTAATCCTCTGCCTGCTGCGCCGGCATCCCATATGGGCGCTGGGTTCTTCCAGGTTGCTCCTCTTCCAGTCCAGCTCTCTGCTGTGGCCCGGGAGTGCAGTGGAGGATGGCCCAGGTGCTTGGGCCCTGCACCCGCATGGGAGACCAGGAGAAGTACCTGGCTCCTGGTTTCAGATCGGCACAGTGTGCCGGCCGTGACAGCCATTTGGGGGGTGAACCAGTGGAGGGAAGACCTTTCTCTCTGTCTCTCTCACTGTCTAACTCTGCCTGTCAAATAAAAAAAAAGAAATTATATATATTTATTTATGAAGAAGTTTCTCTGTTAGAATTCTCAGTATATTTATCATCAATAGAAAGGATGTGGAAGGCATGAAACTTAATTAGAACCTACTATTTGCCAGACATTCAATTTCCAGGTCCACACTTTACCACAGCTAATGAATTTTCTGAGAAAGGGAGAACATATGTGTAGATATCTTAAAATAAATAATATTTTACACATTTAAATATTATATCTAGAATCTGCAAATATTGGTGTAGTATTTAAACAGCATTTAAATAGTATTGAACAGTATTTAAATTTATATATAATATGAATATATAGATTTACATAATTATTAAATATGAATCATTAAATACATATAAACTATTTACATATTTCTCATAAGAACAAGAAATGGGGAGCAAAGCAATTCTTCATCAAGAAATTCTTTAAATAAAAGGAATTATTGGATGTCATACCTCCATCCTGTCAATAGGAGGAGTATATGGGAATCTCCAAAAAATTCATGGAAAATGCACGTAATCTTTTAATTATACATTTTCCATGAAGTTTTTGAAGTTCTTCATATTTTAACCCATCAGCTATTAGTATTATTTTCCTAATTCCACCTAGAGATGAGATAACGGTGTGTTTAATAAGGAATGTCCTTACACAAAGTGATTGTGATTTTACAGCCATTCCATTGTTTCTGGTCAAGGTCTATTTTAACTCAGTACATTTTAAAATCAGCAGTTATTGAAAAGGAAATGTGTATTGTTCATGACAGCTCCACTATTCTTTTTCTAAAACAACAGAGGCTTTATTAAGAGCAAAGTTGTATATGACCATTTTTTGAGTTTTTATTTTATTACCAGTAAAAGAACAAAACATCAGACAAGACTATTGTCTGATCCATCTGGTGCTATATTTCCTCCACACAAGCCTTGTATAACACACACACAATATTTCAACTGCAAATGTTGTTTAGCTTTTACAACAATTGCCTATCAAAGCATCCAGGTCCCATTGATAATGGAGCAAAGCTTTTCCTGCAATTGTGAGCCAGGAAATGCTGGCCCCTTGGCAAGGCTCATATGTCCTGTTGCTTGTAATCTCCCTCCCTCCTTGCTGGAATGTGTTATTTTTAAGCAGCTAGACTAACAGGAAAAGAAAGTTGTTACTTCTTTTCATGTGACCTGGCAGTAGGAAAGTAGGAAGGCAAGAAACCCTGTTTTAGGAACTGGGGCTGATCACATCTTAAAGCCACTTGCTGGGTACCAAGCCACACATGTGGGGGAAGTCGTCCGTTCCCAGCATGCTTTTGAATCGATGGTAAGTTCCTCATTCCATGACCCAGTACATTGTGCAGGCTTCTGCTCGCTAAAAAATTAAGACACAGATTGTACCGAAGGTGCAGGGATCCTCATTGTTTTGTGCTTGCATGGGGTAAAGGCGGTGTTTCGTTTTGCAGAGAGCTGCCCTGAAACTTTAGAGCGAACTACAGAAATAGGGACACATTTTACTTCATGATGATCTCGGAATGTTGAACCAATAGTCCATGGAATATTTTAGTGATGACTGTAAACAGGTTGCATTATTTAAAAAAAAATATTCTTTCATATTTGCCTAGGTAAGAAGTGCATTTCATCTATCACATCCACATAGATAAAAATAAATCTAGAACCTTACTTAATCAGTTGTTTTTGGTTTTTTGTCCCCTGGATGGCTTGCTTTAAGGAGTAGATCAGTTTTGGAAGACAAAGCATGGCTAAGAACACATACATTATGAAAAGCGCTTTCTTAGCTCTTGAGCGAAGCGTGCTCCTGCCTCAGTGCCGTGACTTGTGCATTTGCTCACTCTTAGAACGCTATCTCCCAGACTCTGGCCAGGCCCTCCCTTCCTTCACCAGGCCTCCGCTCAAATGTGACTCGATGCTCATAATTATCAAACAGCACACCTACTGCACCTCCACTGCCTCCCTCACTTTCTATCCGTTATTGCCCTTAATGTCTGTGAAGCACTGGGGCTGGCACTGTGGTGCCGCGGGTTAAGCTGACACTTGCCACAGTTCTAGTCCCCTGCTGCTCTGCTTTTTGATCCAGCTCACCATGAATGTGCCTGGGAAGGCAGGCAGGATGGCTCAAGTGCTTAGGCCCCTGCCACCCACATGCGAGATCAGATTGGGGTTCCTGGCATTTTGCCTCGGCCTGGCCCACACCTGGTTGTTGCAGCTGTTTGGGGAGTGAACCAGCAAAAGATTCTCATTCTCTCCCCGACCTCATGTTAATCTGCCTTTAAAGTAAATAAATAATTTAACCTTTTAAAAAGATCACTGAAATTCTGTAGGTATATGGTTGTTTATTTGTTTTTCGTTAACAAATTCTCCTCTTGTGAATACCCCTGTGAGAAGAGATTTTCCTTTTTTTTAAGATTTATTTTTTTGAAAGTCAAAATTACAGAGAGAGAGAGAGAGAAAGAGAGGGATCTTCCATCCACTGGTTCACTCCTCAATTGGCCGCAAAGGCCAGAGCTGTGCCATTCTAAAGCCAGGAGCCAGAAGCTTCTTCCAGGTCTCCTATGTGGGTGCTGGGGCCCAAGGACTTGGGCCATCTTCCACTGCTTTCCCAGACCATAGTAGAGAGCTGGAGCAGGTGGGACTCGAATCGGCACCAGTAAGGGATGCTGGCACGGCAGGCAGCGGCTTTACCCACTACACCACAGCGCTGGCCCCAAGATTTTCTTGTATTCACTGTGACACAGTGGCCTGTGGTAAACAATCAATAAGCAAATCAGGAATGGTTGAATATGTCAATTTCTAGTGACTTCTTTATTAAATTGTGATGGGGTATACTTGATTGTAATTATCTCATTCTTCTTATATGTGCAACTATTTCAAATAATTTCAGACTATGATAACGTATTCTGATTTAAATGAGAGGTATAACCTGTATATTATAAATCCATGAAAAACAGAAGAGGAAATGTTTGTATGTCGTGCACCCAAAAGAGGAGCTGAGAAACAATTAATTTATCATTTTTATCTTCCTTTAGACTGCTATTTTCCATGATAAATTAACATGAAATCATCATATGCAGCTATTTGCTTCGGCACTTCAATGAATCAACACCCTATCAATTCTACAAACTCTCCTAGACCCCCTCATGTCTACTACAATCACCAGTGTCTCTCACAGAGTTATATATGCATTTGTTAGCAGTGGCTTTCATTTGTTCTTCTTGCATTCAGCCAAAAGGACTAGCAGAGTCCAAGTTCATTTATATTTAGAATATCTCTAATAGCTGTTCTTTCTGTCAATGCTAAGTACATTGAGAATATCTTTAAAAATAAAAGAACAGGGGCAGTCACTGTGGCACAGCTGCCTGTAAAGCTGGCATCCCGTAGCAGAGTGCCAGTTCAAGTCACGACTGCTCTGTGTCTGATCCAACTCTCTGCTACTGTGTCTGTCTGGGAGAGCAGTGGAAGATGGTCACCCATGTAGGAGACGTGCAAGGAGTTCTTGGCTCCCAGCTTTGGCCTGTTCCAGCCCTGGTCTATGCAGCCATTTGGAGAGTGAACCAGAGGCTGGGAGATTCTCTTTCTCTGTGTGTGTGTGTGTGTTTGTGTGTAACTGCTTTTCAAATAAATAAATCTATACCTTTACCTGTCAAACAAACAAACAAAAAAAATAAATAAATCTTTTTTTAAAAAAGTAAAAGAAGGCCGGCGCCGCGGCTCACTAGGCTAATCCTCCGCCTAGCGGCGCCAGCACACCGGGTTCTAGTCCTGGTCGGGGCGCCGGATTCTGTCCCGGTTGCCCCTCTTCCAGGCCAGCTCTCTGCTGTGGCCAGGGAGTGCAGTGGAGGATGGCCCAGGTGCTTGGGCCCTGCACCCCATGGGAGACCAGGAAAAGCACCTGGCTCCTGGCTCCTGCCATCGGATCAGCGCGGTGCGCCGGCCGTGGCGGCCATTGGAGGGTGAACCAACGGCAAAGGAAGACCTTTCTCTCTGTCTCTCTCTCTCACTGTCCACTCTGCCTGTCAAAAAATTTAAAAAAAAAAAAAAGTAAAAGAAAAATGCAAAAATAATAAATATCAAAGAAACACTATTTTATTAAAAGTATAGTTTACTTAAAGTCTTCCTCTGGCTTTAGAGGTTAAGGGAAAGAGTAGTTGGGCAATTCTTCTGATACTATTTTGCTTCTTTCACCTGATAAGACTGGTAGTGCTTGGGTTGCCTCTGGATCCTCTGTCCTGGACGTCAAGTAAGTCAATGTTGAACATGGTGTGTGTCCGCAGGGAGGACTGTGAGTTTGCTGTTGTTGTTCTACTCCCCTCACCACAATTTCTCTTTCTGCTTTATTGAGTTAGGCACTTCGAGAGGGCTTTACCCTATCAGCCCCTCACTAGGGAGAAAATCAGCAGTAATGGATCAAACTTTTCCCCTCTTTTTCAGGAACCACCACGTGTGAGTCTTCTGCTACACAGAGAACTGCACCCCAGCGTCTGGCACTGCCAAGTGGCCCACGTGGAACTCCCACGCTGCCAGGTTTGTACTCCAGACGGATTCCTATTGTCCAAGGCAAGAACTTGGTGTACCTGGGAAGACTGCAGTTTGTCGTAACCCACCGCAGGGTCACACATCCGTGCCTGTATCAGGTCCCTCTAAAGGAAGCCAGATTTCACAGATAAAGGATGAACAGGTTTAAAGGCATCCACAGACTCACTCTGGACCCTTTCCCGATTTTGCTGTCCACAAAGTCCTGACAGTTTTCATCCACTGTCTCTATAGTTTGTGTTTTGTGTTGTGTTTACTGCAACCCAGTCAGTTCTGGGTTCACTTGCCACTTGCCATCTCCACATGAACTTGGCATCAGCTTCTCAAATTCAAGAAACCTCAAACAGAAACACCATCCTCTTTTCCCAAAGCTATTTTTCTCTAGAGAACTTAGTCTCAGAATGTGGCACTACTGCCCACACAGATCTCTACTATCCTGATCATCCTTAACTCACTGTCTGCTTTAACCCATACACCGCCAGTCGTGTTGTTAGGCTTCCTTTTTATTTTTCCCAAATAGGTCCAGTCCTTTCTTCTTTCATTATTAAAAGCTACCACGGATATAATTTTAAAAAATAATTTACTCTTTTATTTCTTACTTTCATTTTCCATAATATTTTCACGGCATTGACTTTATGAAATTCAAATCACATGTTTCAGCTTTGTGATAGAAATCCTTTATTTTCCACTTCCCCAGGAACATGATCCAAAATATTTAATATGGCCTACCACGCCTTCCTTGATCTTACTTTGCCTACTTCTTCAGTCTGGTCTTAAAACTGCCCACTACACTCTCTCAGATTTATCCCTTTGCTTACAGATTGTGTGAAAGTAGCAAAAACAAGAGGCTGGTGGAGAACCATGTGCTAGGAGGTCAGCTTGACTTCTCTCCTGAGATGTTCACCTGGATGCCTGCAGAGTGCGTCCTGGAAGCCTACGTGATGGGGGTGAGGGTGATGGAAAGTGCTATTCGAGGTGGGTGATTTCTTTACTTACACAGAAGACAATGAGTGCTGCTATGCCATTTTCATTCTGACCCCTAAAAAGTGAGTCCTGCAGATGTGAAATGAAGATGAGAGGAAAGAAGGCAAATTTATTGGAGAATAACACGAATGCACATTTAGAAAGCTCGGCATGTAGATAATTGAAAGCAGAGAAGGAAATGGTGTCTAGATGGTATTCCAATTCGCATGGCTTAATTTCTAGCTGATAAAGCGTAACCCAGTGTTAACCCTTGAAACACTTGATGTAACAGAACAAGAGCTTTGGTGGAAGGTAAATGACCTCCATAACTCTCAAGGAGAGCAAGGAGATTAGTTAGGGAAAAATTTCAGGGCCTTCATTTTTAATTTGTTTTTTATTATCACACTTTCTGGATGTTCTTAATTGAGCTCCTAACTTAAAGCCCGTTAACAATGTCTCACTGTAATGGGCAAAACCCCAGCACGATCTGCTGCTCCTGGCTCACACCTCCCTGATCCCTTGTCCCATCATCCCCATTACTGCCCGGCTTCCTCCTCACTGACGCTCAGCTGTGTCTTGGATGGGACAAGCACCTATCTACATCATGACTTCTAGCTTCATCCTGCCTACACAGAGGGACGCCCCGATGTGTTCCCTCAAACTCTCACAGCTGAGGGAAGCAGATTTGCCCTTAGGAGGATATTTCACACGCATAGGGAAAAAAATTCACTGGACTACAAATAAAACCAGCTATATTGAAAAACAGCACAAATAATTTCAAATTAAATGTGTTATATAGTAACGTGCACACTTCACTAATTCATCAAAATAATGACAACTGAGCAGAACATTGAATAATAATCATAATCTCAAAGCAGTGGTTAGAGTAGATGATATTTCAAGGTGCTTCTATGTTGTTATGTAAACTAAATATCCTGGAAAATTGGGCAATGAAATTGTTGACGCTACTAGGGGCTTTGTGGATAACATTGAAAATGATAACACTGATAATTGAAGGAAATACTAAATCTTAGTGAGATGTTGGCCAGGGTATCGTTTATTTTTCTTTCTCTCTCTCTTCCTTCCTTCATTTTTTTCTTTCTCTCTTTCTCTTTCTCTCTTTCTCTCCTTCCCTCCCTCCCTTCCTCCTCCCCTCCCTCCCTTCCTCCCTTCCTTCCTTCATTTCTCTCTCTCTCTCTCTCTCTCTCTCTCTCTCTTTTTTTTTTCCTATTCAAGTTCAGGGGCAACCTGAATTCTAGTTGGGAATCCAGGCTAAAAATCCCTATTTCATGAAATATTCTGTTCCCTGTATCTGCTTTACTCATCCCTGATTTCCTTCAGTTTTCAACTTGTTTTCCTTTGTGATAAAGGCCCCATGACCCGCCCAGCTCCCCAGTGACTTTATTTAGAGGCCACATTACCTTTATTTTTTCTCCATAGCACACAGGGGTCGACTATGAATTTATTCATTCACTTATTTTCTGTTTTCCCACTGCTGTTCAGGCTGTGTGAGAACAGGATTTGTTTTTCTCTTTCAATCACTGCCCTATGCCAGCCCATAGAACTTTACCTAGCACAAATTCAGCATGCAGGAGATATGTGTTGAATGTACTGGATGAGTAAATGATATTTTACCATGGTTTATAAAATTCTTTAGTAACTCATTGTTAACTATATTGCTGTTCTCATCCTACTTATTTTAAAAAATTAAACTTTTTATTTATATAAGGGAAAGAAATTTCATTTATACAGTTTTGAGAACATAATGATAGTTCCATCTTATTCTCTATCCTTCCCTCATTCTTACCCTCCTTCTTCCTTCTGTTCTTTTAATTTTTTCAATGACATGGTTTCAATTTAATTTACAATCACAAGCCTAACCCCCTGCTAAAGAAAGAATTTCACAAGTGGTAAGTAAGGAAATGACTATTCCTCTAGAGTAAACACAAGGGACTGGTGCTATGGTGTAGCAGGTAAAGCCACCACCTGCAGTGCCTGCATCCCATATGGGCACTGGTTCAAGTCCCAGCTGCTCCACTTCCAATCCTGCTCTCTGCTCTGACCTGGGAAAGCAGTAGGAGATGGACTAAGTCCTTGGGTCCCTGCACCCACTTGGGAGACCTGGAAGAAGCTCCTGGCTCTTGGCTTCAGATCAGGTTGTTGTGGCCACATGGAGAGTGAACCAGTGGATGGAAGACCTCTCTCTCTCTCTCTCTCTTTCTCTCTCTTTTTCTCTGTCTCTCTGCCTCTATAGCTCTGCCATTCAAATAAATACATCATTTAAAAGAGAGAGAGAGAAAGAGAGAGAGAGAGAGAGAATACACAAAGGGGAAGATTCTGTGGTCTAGCCAATAAAGCTGCCGCCTGCAGTGCTGGCATTCCATTTGAGTGCCAATACGAGTTCTAGATGCTCCGCTAATGATCCAGCTCCCCGCTAATGCACCTGGGAGGGTGGAAGATGGCCCAAATGTTTGGGTCCCTGCTCCCACGTGGGAGACCTGGAAGAAACTCCTGGCTCTCGAACATTTGAGGAATGAACCAGGGGATGAAAGATTCTCTCTCTCTGTCTCTGCCTCTCTCTTTCTCTAATTATACCTTATTATTATTATTATTATTATTTTCGACAGGCAGAGTTAGACAGTGAAAGAGAGAGAGAGAGAGAGAGAGAGGGAGGGAAAGGTCTTCCTTCCATTGGTTCACCTCCCAAATGGCCGCTACGGCCAGCGCACTGTGCTGATCCGCAGCCAGGAGAGAGGTGCTTCCTCCTGGTCTCCCATGCGGGTGCAGGGCCCAAGGATTTGAGCCATCCTCCACTGCCTTCCCAGACCGCAGCAAAGAGCTGGACTGGAAGAGGAGCAAGTGGGACAGAATCCAGCGCCCCAACCAGGACTAGAACCCGGTATGCTGGCGCCACAGACGGAGGATTAGCCTAGTGAGCTGCGGCGCCAGCCTCTAATTATACCTTTCAAATAAATAAATAAATCTTTAAAAAAAGAGTATGGCAAGTGCTATAAACTAATAAAAATCTCAAAATGTCAATTTCACTCATATATATTAATTTTTTCTACTCTGTATATTAACTTCCACAAATCAACATATATTTGTCCTTTGGGGACTTGCTTATTTAACCAAAAATAATGGTTTCCAGTTGCATGCTATTTGTCTTTTTCATGGCTGAGTAATATTCTATAGTATATACCAGGATTTCATTACCCATTAGTCAGTTGATGGACATCTGGTTTGATTCCCTATCTTACCTATTTTGAGTTAAGCTGCAATAAACATGTGAGTCCAGATAACTCTTTCAAATGCTGATTTCATTTCCTTTTGGGAAAATTCTCAGGATGGAATGAGTGGATCATATGGTGGATTTATTTTCAGATACCTGAGGAATCTCCATACTGTCTTCCATAGTGGTTGTACTCTTTACATTTCCACCAGCAGTGGATTATGGTACCTCTTTCCCCATATCCTTGCCAACATTTGTTGTTTGTTGATTTCTGTATGAGAGCCATTCTAACTGGGGTGAGGAGAAATCTCACTGTGGTTTTGATTTGCATTTCCCTGATGGCTAGTGATCCTGAGCATCTTTGCATGTGTCTGTTTGGCCATTTGTATGTCATCCTTCGAAAAATGGCTGTTCATATCCTTAGTCCATTTGTGTGACACTCTCCTCTTGTAACACCTCCCTCTGACTCACTGCACCCTATGTATTTATTCTTGTTTTATCTCAGTCTTCAGGAGGAACCAGATGTCATCCTGCCTCAAGGCCCTATTCCAGGCATCACAAACTCTTACAAGTCATTCCTTTCCAACCCTACTTGACCTAGTGAGCACGTACCCATCCTGGGGGTTCCAGAATCCCTTGCTGAATGCTCTTCTTGGGGCAAGTCTCACTGCCAGATTCTTTTAGAATGAACTCTACATCTCTCTCAGTACATCTGCACAAATGTAACTCAACGGTTATTCATGTTTCCTTTAATGTAGACCCTTTCAAACTAGACTGCAGCTCTCTGGAAGCAAGTCACTGATACTTAGAAGTGCCCAAACAACACTCTTTAAATGATATGAATAAACCAAAGAAGTCAGAGTCCACCCTCTCCAGATTCTTCTAAATGTAGAACTTGGAACACATTAGTGAAGTTAGTTGGCCTAGCTTGAGCAATCATTGCTTGCACCTGTTGTCTTTGAGTTAAATTCTAATGAGATGGCAGAGATCACTCATAAATATTTATGAAGACAAGGAGTTTGGCACACACGAGTGTTGGGCTGCAAACCCTAAGTGATGTTATTTCTTGTTCGGTAGCTTTCCAGTATCACAGCCACAAGTTCCATCCTAAAATGTTGCCAAAAATTTGATCTGCAATAAGAGAGATTTTTTTCCTTCAGCTTGAATTTAGAAGAGACTAAACATTCGTATGTAATTTAATCTCAAGATATGACTTTATCCAAAAACCACTAGTTTTCAGTAAAGAAAACTAAAAGGGATAGGTTGCATATAATAGTAAGCAGTATAAATCAAAAGCAAGGTGCTCAGTTCTTCCTTAGTCCTGCTGTTCATAGTCGTAGTTAGAACAGCAATGGTGGAGCTTAATGGTAACAAATATTTAATGCAGGCATCTGAGTTACAAAAAGTTTGCTAAAAATCAAAATCAAGTTGTTATTAAAATCAGCACCTCTACATTCTTTATCATTAATATGAACATTTTATTACATTTCTGTAATACTTCATTACTATTCACCCATTTGTAATTATATATTAGAGAGGATTTTATGCTGTGCAGCTCTGTCTTCATTAACCTTTATAAAACTATAGCTCAGTGCCAGTATTTTGATAGAAATTTGCAGAGTAGTGAGGGATCTATGTTTTCATCAGTGTCTACAATGTAGGTACTCAACTATGCTAAAAAACAAACTCCCAGAAAGTTAGATTATCCTGAGTTTTTATGTCAGGTAATTATTTGATAGTAGAAAAAGAACTGAAATAATGCCATCATTATTGTTTGGGAGAAATTTTCATTGTAAGACTTCGGAAAATGAACCAAGAATACCCACGAATCTCCAGAAAATTACATTAAGATCAGTAGGCTGTGGTTTCACATACGTGTTTTATCAACTTAAAGCCTTTTCGGAGGGCTTCTTTTTCATAAAGGCAAAACATGTTTTTGAAATGGGTGTAAGAAAATGATTTAAACCACAGAGAATACAGGCATTACAGGCATTATTTGAAGTGAAGATTTTCTGATGTACTCCTGAATTCTTTTCACAGAACTTTAGAGGTGTTAATAAAAACAAATTTCCCAAATGCTGGGTTAGAACAGTTTAAGAAAAAGAAACACAAATAAAAAAATTTTTAAAAAAATTAAAAAAAGGAAAAAAAAAAGAAACAGTGATTAATGATGGACTTGTACACTTCAGACTTCCATTCTGCTGCTGTTAAGTCGTGGCCGTGTTCTCTTTCACCAGGTCCAAGGGTGGTATGCTTCTGTGTTAACCTGCACACTTGTAATCGCTTCTTACCATTGATCAGTGCACTGCTTATAATGGAATCAGCTAAGCAAGAATTAATTCTGTTCTGTGTATTGATACACACACACACACACACACATTTAGAAATCTAGTTTTCAAGCCTGACGTGGGCTGGCTCTGTGGCATAGTGGGTAAAACCACCACCTGCATTCTATATGGGCACTGGTTCTTCTCGACTGCTCATCTTCTGATCCAGCTCTCTGCAATGGCCTGGGAAAGCAGTAGAAGATGGCCCAAGTCCTTGGGACCCTGCACCCTCGTGGGAGACCAGGAAGAAGCTCCAAGCTCCTGGCTTTGGATTGGTGCAGTTCCTGCAGTTGCAGCCCTTTGAGGAGTGAACAAGAGAATGAAAACCTTTCTCTCTGTCTTTCCCTCTCTCTATCTGTAGCTCTACCTCTCAAATAAATAAGTAAAATCTTAAAATAGCCCAACCATAAGTTTTATAATGTACCCACACTGTACAGTGTAAATGACCAAATTTTATCCCAGTTCGAAAAAAATGTTGTCATTTCTACCAGCATAATGGCAATTTCGAGAAATCCTTTTGGTGTCTCCTTATTTTTAAGATGAAATTGCAGATGGAGTTTTTTTTTTTTTTTTTTTACAAGACCAATCATG